ATGTTGGAGCAGGTGGATGCATGAAGGAGGCTTTGGCCCCATGGGAGGCCCAGGATGGAGCAGGGTCCTGCCAGAGACCTGCAGCCCATGGAGAGGGAAGCCCACACTGGAGCAAGTTTTTCCTGCGTAGGACTCGTGGCCCCTGTGGGGGACCCACACCAGTTCTGCTTATTCGCGAAGGACTGCACCCCATGGAGGACTGACCTATAGGACAGCAGTTTGGGAATAATTGCTGTCCAAGGGATGAACTCACACTGAGAGGTCCGTCAAGGACTGTCTCCCATGGGAGGGATCCCACAGGAGCAGGGGAAGCACTCCTCTCCCTGAGGAGCAGGGGAAGGATTCCTCTTCCTGAGCAGCAGCAGAAACAACAACTGACCGTAACCCCCATTCCCCATCCTCCTGCACCACTGAGGAGGAGGAGGGAGAACATGGAAGGAAGGAGGGGTCAGGGGAAGGTGTTTTTAAGATTGTTTTATTTCTCACTCTTTGGCTTTTACCCTGTTAGTAATAAATTTAAGTACTATCCCCTCTTTGAGTCTGTTTTGCCCATGGAGGTAATCAGTAAGTGACCTCTCCCAGCTGCTATCCCAACTTATGAATCCTTGGCATTTTTCTTTTTGGTTTTTTTTTTTCCCCTCTCTCCTCTGTCCAGTTGCAGAGGGAGAGTGAGAGAGTGGCTTTAGTAGGTACCTGGCATCTGGCCAGGGTTAACCCACTAGAGGGTTTAAAACAATTTAAGCTGGTGGCCAGACTTAAATCACTTATTTGGCTACTTAAAACAGTACCAGTATTAATATGTGTTTTGCTAATGACATAATTCAAAAAATAATTAAACAATCCACAGAATTTTCTCCTTAGGAGTTGTTTTCATAATTTAGGAAACAATATAGTGATTTTCTATACAGAAAACCTCTAAAAGTCATTACAAATAAACAGGTTAATACAGCAAAAAGGAGGAGAAAGAGTCAGGTGCAGTAACAGACAAGAAGCAAATACCATGAGAAACAGGAAAAAATTTTTTTAGGGACAGGGCAAACATCTATCATTAAAATAAGCTCAGCTAATTAATATTAGATTAAAAATAACATTCTCTTCCAATAGTTAAAAAGATTAACCTTCTGTAACATTGCTCATTCAAAAAGTTGTGTCCTAGCTTAAAATAATTTTCCATCTCTTTCTGTGGCTCACAGAATAAAGACCCATTTCCAATACTATAAAGTCCTCTATAAAAAAAAAAAAACAAACCAAAACCAACAAAACAAACTGAGAAGAAGCTGGGTCTGGCTCAGCAATTTAACAACAACATTCTCATTTGATCACTTAGGAGCTTAAACACTGTAAACAAATGGTAGAAAATGAATGTGAGTAGATCCAATGATGACATGATAGAGATGGCTTTGTAAGTGTATAACAAAAAGAGGATAATTATTTGGAATAAAATTTTGCCCTTGCTTTCAAACGAGGCATTTCGATGTCAAAAAGATGGTTATATATTAAACTGAAAGACTACTTTGATTGCAGCACTGAGACAATCCTTTTCCAATGGCATAGATTAAAAAAAATCCCAGTAATATTGTCTAATACTGGAGATTAGGTTGGCAGGAAAGTACCCAACCCAAATCTATTATACTGCTGGCAATCATAACATTTTATAAAATTAGTAGGTATAAAAGCTGCTTTGCTCATTTTAAAACAATTTGTTATCAGCAACTGTTTTTTCTCCTTAACAGTGCTTAGTTAATCCCATCACACACAATCAGGAGGAGAAACATTAGAATATGATGTTGCTGTTGCCCTCAAAAACCCAACCATATCACCAGTTTTAAGATAAAATACAACAGAACTGTTGTACAATTGCAAAGTTAGGACTAGGATAACACACAAAACAATTTACTCAAAGAAGATGGTGGAGGGGAGAGAAGAAAATTAATAGTAGAGCCGATATGGGTTTTGAGGAAAACGTTAATACTTTTGAATGACAGTCTGCGCTAGAAAAATGAGATATGAAATGGCAAAAATCCATTTACAAGAGCAGTCTCCAAGCATCTGAAAGATCAGTAGCACTTATTTCCAATAATCTTTATAGCCTCATTTCTCGGTTTACGGCAGGAAGCTCTGTAACACTTCCTTTAATATCAGATACTGAAGAACTGGAGAGCGGGATGACCAGATGGAATAACACTCCTGGATTGTGTCCAGAAGGAGCCTAAGCACTCCAAAAACTAGCAGCATCATCTTTAAAGGAAGAACAAGAGTGTCTTTGAGGAAGCATGTGGGGGAATTCATTGCCAGGTTACAAATGAGCTGGAAAAACATGATTTTGGTCATCTCATTTATTTAACTTTCCCTTCACATCAAAAAAATACTTTCTTCCATCACCAGTGATGGTGTTTGGGGTAAAGAAGTATTATCTGGGGAATGTGGAATTTGCAGAGTCTAGATCACAACAGATTTTCAACAATTGCAGCACCAATACAGTTGAGTATTCTTCTTGTACCCAAAAATGCACACTTTGCTCATGGAGACACAAAATACTTCATATGCCTGCCTCAGAAGCTAAATTATGAATGCATCAACCCAAACTACTTAAAACAACCTGCCTGCTAATGGCTGCATTTTAAAACACATGTAGGACTCAGAGATTTCCTTTTTGACAGAAAACTGAGTAAAACAATCGCAGCTCATGACAGAGAAGAATTTATCTCTAGTGCAAGTAGCATTTAAACATGACACAAACATCACCTCTCAGCAACCATTATCACAGCAGGTGCCCTGAGATATATGTCAACATACAAGCTTTTAAACAGAGGAATAGTAGATAGCAGAGGCATTTAGGCAAGGATACCTCCCAAAAATTGGTGGTGAGAACAGATCTTTTCAAGTCATCCACATACCACAACAGTAATTTTTAAAGGTAGTCAGTAGGTTTTTATCCAACTTTATAGTCTTTCTAGTTAAAATTATAAAATATAAACTAAGAAAGGCAGGTGGAGAACATTCAAACGTTCAGATGGAACGCTAACACAGTAAATATCATATTGCTAGGCCAGCTACTTTAGCAAAATCCAGAAATCTGTGTTAAATGCCTTACTTTAAGCCTATTTTAGGATACCATGGAATCACTCACTACTGGGCTAATTTCTTGCAATATATAATGACTGAGGGAACAGGGCACACAGATAAGTTTGCTTCCACCTGCTTTTTCTTACAAATGTGTTTTGATTAAACTCTGTGGAAATAGCATGATGATAAATTTGCAGTCAGTGTGTTAAAAGGTTGCAATATAAACCACTCTGTTTTAAGGAAAAAAAAACCCACCCAAAAAAACAAAAAAGCAGAGAACTACCAGCAAAGAGAACAAAAATGACCTGACGAATTCAAACGACAGACATGTCTCTGTTACAGAATCATTACTTACACTTGAAGCATGTGAGACCATCTCTACCCATGGACTGAATTCAGAATAACCAGCCTATAGTAGAAGGTAATGACCAGCTTAAGCACTGAAAAAATAAGTGGTTTTAGTGCCTTTTGGGGTTTGCCTTTTTTTTTTTTTTCCCCAAACAAGGAATGTTAGGATCCTCTAAATTACCCTTATGCAGAACGATTTTCAGAAAAAGTTAAATTGCTCATATTCCTATGAAGTTACTGAACTGAGTATACAGCTATATGACAAATTAACTTAAATATGAGTATTTCTTCACAGCTTTCTTTTTGACCAGAAAATAAGTAGTATTCCTGACCCTTCAAGGACACAAAGAGACTGTGCAAGTGCTCAGATTAAATTTGCAGGTTCAGATTAATTCAAATATAGTCAGACTTAAAACAGTATGAAGAATTTTAGAATATGAGGATTAACTCTGCAGGCCCTTGCTATTTGTACTTAATTAAAAACCCACTGCTACCCACAGGAGCAAGAACACATAGCAGGAAATTTCTGTTGAGTCTCTGCACACCCTTGGTTTCCTTGATGGGGCTAAATATGACATAACTGCCTCTCTTTCATGTGGAGAAACATTTTCATCTGCTTTTCCACCATAAAATACAACAATAAATTTTTCCTTCTCTTCAGAAGTTGCTAACTGCTGCTTCAATAAGCTGCTCTAAAAAAAAGCTTTTGGCAAATTCCAGGATCTTCAGTAATTCCAAAGTTAAACAGATGAGGCAACTGCTCCTTCCTCTCTGCAAATTGTTGTAAACTTGGGAGACAAAAATAGTAATTGTATTCCTAACTTGCTTAGCAACTGTAGGTAAAAAACCTAATATGTCATAATTTATATGTGAAAAGAATGCAGGGGGTTCACAGCCACGTCTAGTGCTATTGAGGGTTCCCACTGAGAACTGCACTGCAAACTGGCAGCTGACTGAAAACACTGCTATTTTCAACAGTTCAAAAAATGTAAATGTGTCACCGACTGGTCAAATAGGCTTCCACACTGGTGATTTATTGCAATCTCTCACACTAGTGACTTGTATAAATCACTCTTGGGCTGAAAACAACCTCTGTGCACAGCTTTATAATGAATTTGTGTGCTGAATCAGTCTTTCTGGCCCCAGTTCTGTCAGGAGGTGGTTTTGAGCAGCCTCAATTAGTCAAAGATAATTTCTATGAGCAAGATTTGCTACAGTGCACAAAGCTGAAAGTAAACATGCTTTTCCAGGGAGCTTTGGAAGGACAGGAGGGAGGAAAAGAAAATTAAAGTCTCTTAACAAAAGAGGAAAATTCAGTGAAACAGATCTGCAACAACTGTTTTTGTTCGTTAACAAAGGAAAATTTGTGGATGCTGTGGATAGTAGAGGTATCCCCTCAGCAGAGTTTTTTGCAACTTAGGTACCACAGACATGAAGATCAGTTGACCTTCCAGAACTTCATCATCTACATGTGGTGGAGGTAGGATGGTTACACTCAGAAACAGAAGAATACAAATATAACCCTAAACCAGAGAACCGTTCCCACACCTGAAACACAAAGGAGACAAATGCACATGAAACTTTACCTGCAGCCACTGTGACTGGTCGTTGTGGCCTGAGGTCCAGGCATTAACCTTGCCTTGCTTGTCCAGCCGGGCTTTCCTGGGCTCCCAAGCAAACATGTCCATGTTGAGTGTACGAAAAACACTGGAGGCAGTGATTTGAAAGTCCTGTATGTGTCCTGATTTCATCCCCAGGGGCTCAGAGCAACCTGGAACAGCAAGATAATGTCAAGGGCTCTATCTACTTATCTCTGTGAGTGATTTAGATTTTTCTGTTGTGGAAGAAAACCCAGGAGTTCTCAAAGAAAAGGATTTAATCAAGACTAACTATTGTTGAAGGAACAAATAAATGAAAAATAGCCAAATTGAGGACTTTATTTCAACAACTGCTTGGGTGAGTCAAAAGCAAGATAGAGAATTCAAATTTTCTTAACCTGGCATAAATTTATGCAGAAAAACAAACTGAAAAGATGACTTTTGTCTCTGCTTATCTTGGTTTTATTTTACCATCCAGTGGCTTCCTGTTGTTTCCCCTGTTCAGCTTGATTTTCTCATGCTTTTATGTCACTCTACTTCAAACATGTGTTTGCCTACTGAGGAAATATTAATTTTTTGTAAAGCCACTGCTGAAGTAAAATGTTAACAAGTACTGAGATCTTTTACAATTCTAAAATTACTTGACATCTGGCTAGAAATCTAGAAAGTACAAAAACCCGCTGAAAGAGCAGAAGACCACAGAAAAACAACTGTGAAGGAGCGAGAATAGTTGGAAATTATCACTTAAGAGAAATCAAGAGTTAATGGCTTATTTGTTTGTGGATGTCCCACATAACTGAGTCATTCTGGTTGTAGCAAAATACAGATCTTGGGCTTCTCCTTTCTCTGTTCTACATGAAAACAGAAAAAAATAAATCAGTTTTCTCATTTTCTTCCTACCCCAGTAGCCAAAGACACTACATTCTGTTTCTCCCATAGGTTTAATATGCAGAATTAAGTGGAATTATGAAGGCATTAAATCAGGAAGGTAAGACCATAGGACCTTCAAGGCAGCTAACAGCAGGAGAAAATACACATTACCAGAGATACATAATGTTAACATGATCTTTAATGCAGTATCTTCTGTATTTAAATTTTGAATATTGACATTTCATATTAAATTTTTAAAAAAGTCAAACAAAGATATTATAAACATGTGAGAAACCAAAGTTACCTTTTTTTACAAAAAAACAGTCTTTCAGAACTGATTCTCAGTGCACAAATGAAATTGCACAGCCTTGTCTATAGAACGGACTGCCTAGTTCAAAACAACAACAAAACAATTTTCCTGGGAGTGGGAGGGAGCAATTGATAGTACAAATGAGACAGACTAATCCACTGCTTTAGAGAAGGACTTTTCTTATTATTAAATTCTGAAGTATCACTCCAGGATCACAAGGGCTGTCAGCAAGGATGTTTCATCCCCAGAATCTGAAGGAGGCTCCTGACACAAAAGCAGGGGTTGTCAAAGTTGTGTTTCAGTGTTGGCCCAATCCATCAAAAATAGTTCTATCTTTTCTGAGCACTATTATTGATTTATGAAACAACAGCTGTATCTGCCTGTGCATGCGTGCATGAATTAATGGGATTTTACACTTGCCTGCCTCCTCCATGGCCCCAGAGGGAGTGGGAAGACAGTTGTTAAAGGTAACAGGAGAAAGTGAGAAGAACAATGAGAAACAGAATAGACAAACATGATGCACATGGGTGGCAGCACAACGCCCTTGGTGCTGTGTCACAGAGAGCAACAGCAGACCCTATCTCTTCCCAGCTTCAACAGCAGTAGACGATGACTATTTGGATGGTCTACTTTGCGCCTGTAGACAGTCATACCTCACAGAAATGCATTTACAATGCTTATATCTCCCCAGAACATCTCCTCCTCACAGCTCTGTATTTTTCAATTTGCTTTGCCATGTCCCTGTGACTTGGCAATTCAATTTCCACTCACATTTTTGCCACCTATAAAGTTTGTGAGAGCTCATGCAGACATACTTACAGCTATGCCCAGTGGAGCATCTTAGCTCAGAATGTTTGAAATGCTTTGGATATCTCCATCTGTGATAAATAATACCTGATACCTCTGTATGTTTAATTCTATCTAGGCGTAGCTTATCATACTTCTTATTTGGTCTAGCTTGGGGAAACAGGAGCAGGGAAATAATGAAGATGAGTGTGGATTAACATCTGAAAATTGAAAGAATCCACATGAAAGTGTGTGGATTGTTGACTCTCCCAAGGGTACAATCTTTTACTCTTCAGCCTGAATCCTGTACCATGACCTTTGTCTAGCTCTTCTTTCAAGAAAGCTCAAACTCTGAAAGGAAATCTTAAATATCCAATGCAATGAAGGCAAGCTCACAGATGTATGTGCTTGCGAAGGTCTGCATCCATCTTGTCTTGGACAAAAATTCATGTAGTATTGGCAAAAGCAGCATATGTCAATTATTTGAGAGTAAAGGTGGTTTTGTTTTGATTAATACTGTGATTTTCTTTTCTAAAAATTGAAAGATTTTAAAATTTTTCTTCATAGTAATGAATCATAGAATGGCCTGGCTTGGAATGGACCTTAAAGCTCATCCAGTTCCAACCCTCTGCCAAGGGCAAGGACACCTTCCACTAGACCAGGGTGCTGAGAGTCCCATCCAACCTGCCTTGATATAATGACCATAGGATTCCTTTTCAGACTAGATATTGCTGAAGACAAACAATGAAAGTGGAATCTGGTATTAAAGGCAGGTGTTATGAAGTCCCCTTTTGTGTGAGCTTTGTGTAAATGGTACCTATAGATACTGTTAAGATAGAGAAATAGTTATCAGGTAGCACCATGTCCAAAGGAGATGAAAGTTACACCCTCAGGAGATGCTCTGGATGTCACATGGATGTTCAAGTTCTGGGGACCAAATCTCTCTGCAAGAACTGAGAAACTCAGAACACCAAGAGCTGGCTGAAATGGTGCATAGGCACTAACATGCACGATTATCAACAGCATTTGGCGGAGACTACTTGCATGGAGGCAGATGTTTGAATTTGTGACTGAATCATGAGTAAGCAACTGTGCTGTGTGAACAGTGATCTGTTTTTAAAAACAGCAGCTTGATGCGGCTATTAATAACAGCTTAATGAATAAAGGCATTCTAACAAAGAGTAGCTGTGATCTGTTTCTCCCCTCACATCAATACACTATGGAGGGAAGGGAATTTAGGACGCAGAGATGCCCAAAATACAAATGAGGCAGGAACACAAGGCCATGAAAATTAATGCCTAATTTATTGATGGCCAACTCCACTATCATTGATCGTGGTTTTCAGTAAGGTCTGACTGTGGGTCCTCGTGAGTAAAGCTATTTATGAGACTAAAGCGTATTGTACTGAATATTTTGCTGAAGTTTGTCCTAAGAAATAATTAGTTTTTATGATGATCTGGTGCTTCAAGTCTCCCTCTGTTCAGCAGTGACTCTCTCCTCTAGCACCAGGACATGATAGAGAAGCCAGAGCTCTCAAAGTGCTTTTCTGTCCAAGACAGATCACTTGTAATTATAAGTGAATTAGTCTCTATAATTCTACTCTTCTTTCAGTAAGGCTGAAATTGTTCTGCTGAGCATTGGCTGCCTACAGTTTTAAGAAATTATGACCTTGAAACTGTTAGGACACCACTGAAATGAATTCACTTCAGTAGCTTTCACAGTTCTTTGAGCAAAACAATTCCTGGTCATTCTGGCAAGGACTTACTCTAAATTGTGGTTCCAGAAATGGAAGACATAAAAAAAATAAATCTAATAGACTAAAGTAGCTAGACAGAAATTTCTATTTACTTTTATACCTATCTGTATTGGAAAAGGACTACACTGAGATTAATGCATTAACTTTTCATTTCTGAATCTGGTTTTGATGCCACTAGAGGACTGAGAGTTATTTAACTCCAGCTGTTTTGATGTATCATTCGTGAACTGGATGACTATTGTTTGTACAGTAAGCAGACAGCCACATAAAAATCATTCCTAAATTAATTCAGTGGAGTACTCCTACCAATAAAAGGTTTATATCTTGAAAAATATAAAAAATTTACATGCTTTACTGAATTTGTAAGAGAACATGCTTCATGCAGAGAGTGGATGGAGGTCAGGCTTTACATTTCAGAGCTACACTACGAATCTTAAGAAGGTTTATATTGGCTCCAATTGTTCATTACTTTTTCTGCGAGATGCAATCCCTGCTCCTGCTAAATCCACAGGACAAATCCAAACTGAAATCTTGATTAAAGTAGCCCAGCTAAATGTGTCTTGTTGCACTTTGAGTGGTCCTGGAAGGCAGTGCAAGCATGTTTGTCCTCCGGAGGGTGTCACAGAGCACACTGGTGGTGTCACCCAGCAGCTAGGAGGAATTACCCACATCAGGCTCGATCCCTCCTGCTCCAACATATGGCACTGAACAACCAGCTCTAGGGTCTCAGTAACCATTTTCAACCCGTAGTTTACGCTGTTCTGAGTGCACTTGTGAGTTAGAGACTTCCTGTCTCGTGGTCTGCTCAGTGTGGTAAGTTATGGGTCCTAATATCCATTGATACTCATTAAAACTGCCACAAACGAGTCTGTCTAGGTCACATATAACTGGAGGCACACAGAAAAATTTACCAATTGTTAGGTTGACACAACATTGCCTTACTACTATTACTGCCCTACTGTCAGTGACAGTAGGGCAGATGTCACTGACATCACTTAGCTAAGTGTTGCTGGTTGTACAATCCACACAAAAAAGAGGTGAGCGACTATGTGGACAAACTCAGGCACAAGCGAAACGATGTTTTGCTGGGGACAAAATGTGTGCACAGTTTAGACCTGCCCAGTGCTTGAAGACTGCAGGAGTCCTACCTGTGAGTTCGCAGCCCAGGAGCTCCATTCTCAGCGTGCAGTGCCTCCTGCATACCTGAGGGTACAGCCGAATGTACTGGGACTTGATGGGCGGAGTGAAGGAGTTGGCGTAAGGGGTGTTGTTGTCCACGTTCCCACGGAACACCTGTAACAAAACAACACACTTACAAAAACGTGCCAGGAGGATAAATGGAGGTTCAGATAATTTCCATGTCTTGAAAGCATCTGTTCTGACTACCCCTGTAAGCTTTACCCAAATAGCAGCTGTTTTGGCATCTCTAGTGCCTGACACAAGTTTTTAAGCAATATGTCCTGCATTTGGGTCACATCATGACATCTTTGAACCAGGGCTTCTATCTTGTCACTCCCAAAAGCTGAAGCTATTAATACAACTAAATTATGGCTTCTTCTCTAATTAGTGGATTAAATAGTCCCAATTCAATTTGGCCTGCAATTATTTATGCTGATTAGCATTTATTTTTTTCCCCTCTAGGTCAAAAACCTGATCCAGCTCCCACCGAAGTGACTGTAACCGTCCCACTGATCACAGGGGGACCTGAATTAAGCCTATCAGCATTCTTCTATTCACCCCTCACTCTAACCAGATATCCCTGTACTATTTTCTTCCCTCATTATATACCTCCTCACATAGCATTTTAATTTCCTAATAGAAAAGCTATGTCTAATGCTTCACAGTGCATTAGTTCTATGTAAATTTACACAGTAAAGTTTCTTTTTTTCCTCCTTTGTATGCATGACTCCATCAAAAATAACTGCTAACTGTAAACTGTAAACCCACACATCCCACTGGATGATACTGTTTGTGCAACACAGAGATTAGCATTGATGAATGGGTTCTATGTTTTCAAGGGTTAATGCTAATCTGCCAGTGTAATAAAACTAAATTGAAAACAGAGTAATGAGTAATTACTGATAAACTAATTAAAATGAAAATCAGTTAAGTGTAATAAACAGGATTATTCTAGCTTGGGGAAATAGTATTTATAAAATCATCAATTAAAGTATAAGAAATTCTTAGCAGACAGAGTGCAAATTTGTTGATGCTATTTTTTTTTTTAATTCAGAGAAAAATAATGACAATGAAACCTATATCATACTTCCAGGCAATTAGGCTTATGTACCACTGACACCTCTTATGTTTTAGCTTCTAAATGCAGCTAAAACATAAGAAGTATTCAGATACAGATGACTTAATCTTACCATATCTTCCTTTGTGCCTTTCACTTTGTACATTGTCCACGACTTCCCATCATTACTGTATGCAATTTTATAAGATTTTACATATTCTGGACTCCCAAGCCTCTTGGCACCTTGAGTTATGACTCCAGTGACTCTCATCTTCTTCTGCAGGTTTATCTGAAATAACAGTACATTTTTATCACTATCTGAGGGACACAATTTTGATCCTTGATTCCTTTGATTCTTTTTTTCTTTCCTTTCTTAAATGACAGGAGAAAGCAGAGCCGTAACATTTCAATTACTACTTTTACACTTGCATTAATTCCTTTTATCTTTCATTACTTTGATGTACAAATGCACACAATGAATGGAAAAGAACTGAACCAAAAGCGTGGACTGTGCTTATTTCATGTGTATAGGTACACATATATATACATATATTATGGTTATACAGAATACTACTGGTGTAGTATTGGGATATTGCATATTTCTGGCATAGAGGGTTACTGCTATATATATTTCCTTCCTGAAAGGTAAATGCAACAGCATGATAATTTACCAAAGGCTGTATCTTCTGTTCTATTAGGAACCAATTTGCAATATCATACAAAAGATCCAAAGTTAAATTCAACTGATTTCTTTGTGATGGTGAAGATACATGGAAGTTCTGAAAGCAAAGAAGTATACTTTTTCTTAATTCTCACTGAAAATTCATATATCTACAGATCAAGGTTGTAATGCTAATCCTAAAACAGTCAACAGCAAAATATTAGTTAGTGGATGTGAACATGCTTTGCGTACTTGTCTAAGTTGATAGCAATACTTTGAAGTACAAAATTAAGATGTTCAGAATCAACAAATTAAGAGCTCAACAGTATTCCAACCACCTTAATTTTGACTTCTTTATCCATCTATGGACATGGAAAGACAACTACATTCACCAAAAGTTCAGAATGTGGTATTCAAACCAAAAAATGCTGGCACTGTCAGCCTTATCCCTGCGATGGAGCCAATCTGTGGCAGCTACACTCCCACCCCTGCTGGGCACCTGAAATCTGCAACTTTTGCACCAAATGAAGCTTAACAAAGAGCTGTCACATCGTGAGAGCTGAGTGAAAGTGTGTGATAAGAGAAGGTGAATGGAAATACTGGAGAGCAAGCAACTGAGACCAGGTAAATAATGCATTAAACGATGTTAGCACTTGCCTCCTCCAAATGAGTCTTATCTCTGCTCCCCAATTAGTGGAGCTGGCCCAGTGCAATCCCCACTGTTTGGAATAGCAGCCCTAGCACAGGTGGATGGGGACTTGGAGACAGATCAGGTATCTGTCGTCCAAACACCTTAACCTCTTTATTCTTTGCAGTGTGGTCTGAAGACTTTCTCCCCCATGGCAATATAATCTAACCTTTATTAAGGATGTAAGATGACCAGATTTCAGTGTTTCAATATCTCACTGTGCACACAGTGGGAAACGTGAGGGAGTGTGGCTATTTCTCTGCTGCTTTTCTGAAATAGTTGGCTTTCGGTGTAGTTTTACCATAGCTCTCCCCATAAGAAATTAATAAGCACTCATAAACCTTCTGAATAACAATGTGTATTTTAGAGGTTTAGACCCATTGAGAGAGGATAAGCTTCCTATTAAAGACCAGGGATCTTTCCCACATAGACCAGGGAAAGCTGAGGAGCATTTTCAATTCCAGTGGAGAGAATGAACTCATGCCAGGATTTTAGACAGGTATAAATCAGAAGAGATCTATGCCTTTTTACAGTCTTGGAAACCTTCTTTTCTCTAGTTCCTGATCTCCCAGAGGGAAAAACAAACCCAAACAAATATCTTATATTCGAAAAAGGACAGCTACAGAGACTATAAGTCCCATAACTACATTAAAAATGTGTTGGGGTTGAGCTCATCTTTCTTATATTAAGGAAGATCTCTACTCCCGGGAGCTACTGATAGATTTGGATATCCGGAGTCCAGTCCATCCCACAGACCCCACTCACAGTAGCCACTGGTGGACCCTGTCCACCCCAGTCTTCAGCCGCTGCTGCTGCGAGGAACCAGCTGTGTGAGACACCTGCCGCGCCAGGAGCCAGCAAGCACCCCCCCTCCCCCCCGTGCCGGGACCCGAGCGCCGCCGAACACGCCGCTGGGACACACAGCACAGCCCGCTCCAGCCATCAGACTGCGACTGGAGGACGTTCCCCTGGAGACAGCCTGTCAGTGACCTAAAACCCTTTTCTTATACTTTACAATATGGGCAACAAACACTCCAATACGAAGAAGACAAAACGGAGTTTCAAGAGCAAACTTTTCTTCCCACGATTAAAAAAAAACTAGAGAAAAAAAACCGGGAGAAAACTTTTACAGAAAGGCTTCCCCCTCCCCCTCTCAGCCATCAGAGCGGCTGGAATGGGGCTGTCCCCTCCCCCGCCCCGCAGGTCCGGGACCAGCGCAGGCATCAGAGCCTCCTCTGCCCCCACGAGCCGGGGACACGAACAAAGGCAGAAGCCGCGGCAGGAATGCAGATTCCCTCTCCCTCCAAGCCCCTGTAGTCCCGGAAACAGAGCGATCCCCGCCCCAAGCCTTTCCTGAAGCGACAAAGGTGGCGGGACCCCGGCAGGCACCCCGGGAGGGACTGTGGGGGGAAAACAAAGACAGAGACGGTGAGGCAATCCCACGGGGTGGCTGAGATGGCGAAAGAAAGAACAAAGAACCAAAAGAACCACGCAAAAACTTTTCTGAACTTTGCAAAGCAGGAGGGAAGAGAGACTGGGTTGCGACAGAGAAATCATACCCGCCTCTGTTCATGCCTCCTTCCTACGTCCTGGCAAACTCCTCCTTCCTAGGGGGGATGAGTGACTCAGCCCCAGAAGCTCCAGCCTTCTCACGTGACCCAGGGGGGATTCCCTCCACCCCTCCGGCACATGACACCGACAGCCATGGCTGCACCCAGAACATACAAGCGGCACCAACTGCACTGAGACGACATATAGATATTCCAGTCCCAGCTGCAATGCCTCTTTCCTCATCAGGCATTTCTCAGTATCAAACACTGTCTCATAGCCTGCCTCAAATGCAGACACAGCAGCAAGCTGAATTCCTGCAGCCTGCCTCCAGAGAGCAGACCTCTGCAGAGACACAGATACCTGCAGTTACTTCCAGCACACAAACTGAAACAATAAATAACAAAACCCAGGCTACCCCTGAAAAGGCAATTTCAACATCTACTGAAAGCTTGAAAACAACGCCTTCAGAGAACCAAGCACCAAGTTCTGCATCTATAAAGCAACATGCAGCATCTGCCACAATGAATAGAGCTACAGGTGCTGTCATACAAAGAAACACAGCACCCCAAGACACCAAGCAAGTATCAAGACGATGGATAGATGTGACTCCTCAAGCTGTGGAAGTTCAGGAGGAGGTCCACTCAGCCTTTTACACTATTGGGCCAACTCCACAACAGGAACAGCCCAAGATGAGTCCCTTCAAGAAAAATCAAGCCCTTCCTAGAGGACTCCAAGCCCTCCTGATCCTTCTCTCCTTTGTTCCACCATGAACTACCTTAGCCTTCTCAGTCCCAGACTGAATGCAGCAACCGGCAGAGAACGTCTGGATCACCCTGGCCAAAACCACCAACACAGACACAATGTGCCTTTTCTTTGACAGCGTGAGTAAACCTTTTTAAAAGCTGTCTCGTGGGTATACCTGGCTGGAACAGGTTTATCCAAAACACTTCCCTTGTAGATAATCTCCTTTTGTCCCCAAACACTACTCCCCAAACCCTCCTACATCTAGGTACCCTAGATATTAATCCCCAATAATTAGACCTTTTAGGTTCACCTGTTACTACCACCTGCTTTAGATTCAAACCCACAACTAATCGCTTTGCCCTAAAACCTAACCTATCCCCCAACTCTTCCATTTATACTCCATTCTTGTCTTCCTTCCCTGTCTAATTTTTTGTGTTAAAAAATCCATGACTAAAAGTTTTTCCCAAGCTTTGCCAGTCCTGAAAAACAGAGAAGGGGGAAATGTCAGGGGTGGACCAGAAGAGGCCTACAGATAGTGGAGAGAGATGCAGAAAAGCTGCAAGGAAGGCTCAGAAGAAAGGATCTATTTAGAAGACTTCTAGCAGCTGTAGCTGTGCAGAACTGCTTGGGACTCAGCTACAAGGCCGCAGCATTGCAGCCTCAGCAGATTCCCCCGTCTGTGCACCCAGGACACAAACCCTCATTATTCCCTAGCTCTCCCTTCCCCCTGAGTGACCTGACATATCCCTGTAGCCTATCCCTCCAAGTTCCCATATCAGTAGCTCTCAGGATTTGATGTTCCTAGCTGGGGTCCTACCTCTATTCCTGAAACTTCTGAATTCCCCTGTATATAAGCTGTCTTCTTGTTTTAATAAACACCATTTTGTGGGTCATACTCGTGTGTCCTGTCTCCCATACAAAATGTGCCGCTGGGTCTTGTCATGGGACTGACCCCTAGCCCACGAGAAAAATGTAGTTAACATGGAATAGTAACCAGTTAAAGATTTATGGAAGTCTCTTATGCATATTTCACTCTCTAGATGGAATTTCAAAATATTAATAAACAGGCAATTTTTTATGTATTTACAAAATAATAATGAAGTGAATACCATCTCCAAAAACAAATTAGAAAGCACATTCAAACAGAAACCAGTCATTGATTATTTGCTGACTGGTAGTAACTTCACATTTCACTGCATGGGAAAAAGAAGGTATAACGCAGCACCAAATAAATTTTCATTGATCCAGTGATGCATTTAACTAATATTCTTTCAGCTTAACTACAAACTTTTCTTTTTCCAGATAATAACCTTGGGGATTTTCTTCAGATGAGAAGAAAACGGGATTCTTTTCCCCCGTTTACCCACAAAGAGCAATTGTGTAATGAAGTCATGACTTTAATCACTGGATGATCTATTCCCACACTGGCTCCTTTTCGCATCCTGGTCTCCACATCCAATGCGCAAGAAATAAACCACTGCACTTCAAAAAGCAAAACAATGACAAAAATTCCCCACCTAACAGTAATTTCTCAAAGAGTTTAATACTATAGTTGAAACTAAAAAAAAAAAAAAAAAAGGCCTACTGAATGAAGGGAAGATTTGGTCAGATAATCACAAAAATGAAAGAAAAAAATCTAATTTTC